AAAAAAAACCAAAGATAGCTAACTTATAGGCAGTCCAAGATTCTGCCATTCTCAAGTGCTTGAGATTCACTTGTATAAATGAAAACATCCAGGAAGGTCTTGGTGGCTCACACCTGCAATCCCAGCAGTTTGGGAGGGCAAGGCAGATACATTGCTTGAGCTCCCAAGTTCAAGACCAGGCTGAGCAAGAGGAAGACCCCATCTCTAAAAAGACTAGCTGGGCGTTGTGGTGGGCCCTTGTAGTCCCAGCTACTTGGGAGACTGAGGCTAGAGGATCACTTGAGCCCAAGAAACTGAGGCTACTGTGAGCTCTGACACCTCAGCACTCTATCGAGCATGACAAAGTGAGACTCTACCTCCAAAAAAAAAAAAAATAGAGGCTCAGTGCCTGTGGCTCAAGTGGCTAAGGCATCAGCCACATACACTTAAGGTGGCGGGTTCGAATCCAGCCCAGGCCCGCCAAACAACAATAATGATGGCTGCAACCATAAAATAGCCAAGTGTTGTGGCAGACGCCTGTGGTCCCAGCTACTTGGGAAGCGGAGGCAGAAGACTCACTTGAGCCCAGGAGTTGGGGGTTGCTGTGAGCTGTGATGCCACAGCACTCTACCCAGGGGGACAGCTTGAGGCTCTGTCACGAGAAAAAAAAAAAATAGAAATAAAATAAAAATTAAAAAATCCTTGGCTCGGTGTCCATAGCATAGTGGTTATGGCGCTAACCACATGTATGGAGGCTGGTGGGTTCGAATCCAAGCCAGCTAAACAACAGTAACAACTGCAACAAAAAATAGCCCAGCATTGTGGCAGGTGCGTTGAGTCCCCTACTTGGGAGGCTGAGGCAAGAGAATTACTTAAGCCCAAGAGTTTGAGGTTGCTATGAGCTGTGACACGACATCACTCTACTGAGAGTGACACACTAAGACTCTGTTTCAAAAAACTAAAAAAGTAAATAAATCCTTGAATAATTTCAAACCCACTACTCTGAACTTAGAACAACTTATTGTACAAACCAAAGCAACATATGGCTTCATTTCCCACGCCTGTAGATTTGTATTATCTATTATTATAGGAGATATCGTCTTCTCAAATGCTTCTCTTGCTGAAAAACACAAAACAACACATCACTTTTAGTAATAGTATTAAGAATTATCTTAATTTTTTCCTTTTTTCTTTTTTAAAAATAGGGATGGGGTCTCACTATATTGCCCAGGCTGGATTTGAACTTCTGGGCTCGCTCGAGTGATCCTCCTGCCTCAACCTCCCAAGTAGCTAGGCATGTACTTGACTTTCTTGATTTTTTTTTTTTTTAAATATCTGATCTTGTTTTCATTATGTGGAAGTCATAGACATGTACTAATTTTACTCACTACTCAACTTCTAAATATCCTTTGGAGGACATAAAAAATTAAAGTATGGGTAAAGGTTGCATAATAATATTGAATAATAATAAATTCTGAAGTTATGTAAGCAGAAAATTTTATCATGCTACAAGCAACAAGATATCATGGTTTAGGTTTTGGAAAAGAAAGGACTTCAGTAGAAAAACAAAAATTCAAATATAGCCTACAGTTTAGTTGATAACAATGTACCAATTTCTCAGTTTTGACAAACGTACCAGATTTATACAAGATGTTAACGTGCAGGGAAAATGGGTAAATAGTATTCAGAAAAGCTCTCTATGCTGTCTTTGCTATGTTTCCAGAAATCTAAAATTATTACAAAGTAAACTCTGAAAACAAACAAAAAAACATAAATGAACAAATATACATGATAGAATGATGTAAAACATTATACTGTTGTACAGGGGATTTTCACCCCAAGGAGTTAGACCATGCAGGAAATTAATAACGTATTGCAACAAAGTCTTACAAGGAATTTATCTCAAAGTTTTAAAAGTTCTGCCCAGTCTCTACCGACTCAATAAAGGAAAGATAAACCAATTTAAAAATGGTCAAAGCATATGAACAGGTATTTCTCCAAAGAAGATACAAAAATGCCTAATAAGCACACAAAAGATGTTCAACATCACTAGCCAGCAGAGAAACCAGTCAAAACCACAAGGAGCCACACTTCACCCTGCCAGACAGCTGTAGTCAAAATGACAGATAGCAGTAAGTGCTGGAGACAATGTGGAGAAGTCCAAACTCTCATAAACTACCAGCAGGAACTTAAAATGATTTGGAGAACAGCCTGGCAGTTCTTAAAAAGATTAGACATAGACACGTATGTTTACAGCAGCATTATTCCCAACAGCCAAAAAGTAGGGGAGAACCCAAATGTCCAGCTGATGGACAGGTTAAAAAAATGTGGTATTTCCATATGATGAAATGCGTGTTATTCAGCCACGATGAGAAACAAAGTACTGATGTATGTTACAACATGGATGAACCTCGAAAACATTATGCTAAGAAGGCCAAAAACTAAAGACCACATATTACATAATTCCATTTCTATCCAAACATCCAGAATTAGCCTGGTGTAATGGCTCACTTCTATAATTCTAGCACTTTAGGAGGCTGAGGTTGGAGGATCGCTTGAGATCAGGAGTTTGAAACCTGCTGAGCAAGAGCAAGACCCCATCTTTACAAAAAATAGAAAAATTAGCTGAGTATGGTGACATACCCCAGTGGTCCCAGCTACTTGGGAGGCTAAGGCAGGAGGATCACTTGAACCCAGGAAAGTGAGGATGCAGTGAGGTCTGAGGATGTCACTGCACTCTTATCACAGGTAACAGGGCAAGACCCTGTCTCAAAAAAAAAAGTCCTGAACAGGCAAACTATAGAGATAGAAAGTACATTGGGAGAAACACGTGACTGCTTAAGGGTAAAGAATCTTTTTTTGAGGTAATGACAATGTTCTAAAATTGACTGTGGTGATGAAAATATGACCAGAATATTAAATGCTAAATTATATCATTCAAATGGGTGAATTCAGCAGAGCATGGTGGCACCTGCTTGTAGTCCAACTACTTAGGAGCCTGAGGTGGGAGGATTGCCAGAGCACGGGGGTTGGAAGCTGCCATTGCACTCAAAGAAAAAAAAAAAAAATTCTAGCACTTTGGGAGGCCGAGGTGGGTAGACTGCCTGAACTCACAGGTTCAAGACCAGCCTGAGCCAGAGTGGTGGGCTCCAGCTACTCAGGAGGCTGAAACAAGAGAATCGCTTGAGCCCAAGAGTTTGTTGTTGCTGAGAGCTGTGATGACACGGCACTCTACAGGGGGCAAAAAAAAGAATTAAGGAGTAAATTACATCACAGTAACGTGGTTTTAAAAAGAGTCCTGCCTATTAATATGTTATTACTATTGCTGTGCTTGATGCTGTTTAGAAGAGCAGGCTGAACTAGTGCTAAGCATTTTTTATTCTGATTTAACCTTTTCAACAATCCTGGGAGCTAAGTACTGTTCTCCCCTTTAATACACAAAGATTCTCTGCCTTACACAGTATAAATAACTTGCCCAAGATCACACAGGTAGTAAAAGTTGGTCTTCATCACCACATCATCCCGCCTCCTTTGTTTTTAAGTGTGTTCATATGTTCACAGCTGAGTTCTCCCTTTAATTTTTGGTTCAAGAATAGACACATAAAAATTTAACAATGTCTGAAGATCCTTTTGTAGTTTTCAACTATAAATGACTGTGTTCACTCTTATGGATGAGATGTGCTAGGATGACATGCATGAGCCACTGCCCCCGGCCTGTATTACTCTTAATATTAGCCAGAATCGGATGTTTTGTCTTACCACGATTCTGATTCCATTCATGTGCTTCTCCTAAATACTTTACATCAAACTGATACTGTCCATTTATGTAAAAATAATCATCAGTACTAAGAATGACTCCGCTCGGATTATCCTCCTGCAAAGTCCTGTGAATGAAAAATGGAATTACTTTCATTATTTTTCTAAATTCTCTCTCCTAATTTTCAAAGTCATAATCAAAATAAATAACATCACTTAAAAGAATAAGAACATTATAATATTAAAACAAATCATATTGAAAATCCTCTAAGCAGATAGCAGGTCTATTTATATGAAAGTTTAAAGGTTAACAAATGGTTAATTATCCTTTTATGAAAATGCAAAAGACCATTTCTGGAGCATCTATTAAGTATCAGGCACTATTTTAA